TTCCAATTGTAAGTATTTACTAAATCATTTGTAAATGTAAATCTAAACCATTTTTAACTGATCAGTATATATAATTTGACCATTGAGCTTTGGAAAAGAAAAAAACAGAACATAGTGCTGCTGGATAACTTGCTTTGTAGTAGCAATTTCTGCCCTTACTCAAAAAGAGGCAGATTTCCATAGAAGCAAGGCTGGCCAATGCAGGAGGAGTCCTGACACCTCTGGGCTGCTTCAACCAGACACGGATGTTCCCCTGTGCTGCAGAGCAATGGAAGGGCCAATAAATTGGATCTCGGTTCCTCGCGATGCTGTTGGATTACAGTTTCCTGGTTCCAAGCTGTAAACAGCTGTGGTTCTCTCTCCCTCCATGCTGGGAAATGCAGTGTCTTGTCGCAAGCAGGATTGGGACACGGTAATATTTTTCTGGAGGGATCTGGTTTTAGAGTATTGACAGTGGTATCTGCTGTGAGCTTGCTGTTTGCTTCCTGGGAAACCTGAGTATAACCTTGAAGATTTCCGTTCTGGGATGTAGTAAGGCAATAAAATATAGAAGTGAAGCCTCGTCAGAACTTCTACCATATTTCAGCTACTTTAATGGTTTCTTTTTTCCAAGTTACAATCCATGTGTTAAATGATAGTTCAGCTGAAGATTTTCTGCCGCGCTTGTATTTAGCCGGGCCGTACTTCTGCCCTGGGTATAGAATCTGCCTGTAGGTTTCCAGGCTGCCAAGGGGCTCCTGGACTGCCTTGCTCCGGAAGCCCCGTAGCCAGCACGGCTCCCTGCGCGTTCCTGCAGGAGCGACGGCTGGGATGCGGCGTTCCAGAGGGCATCCCTGGAAGAGTGTGCTTTCCAGCCCGCGTTGCTGCCGGAGGGCAGCGGCTGCCCTCCGCATTTCTGCTAACAGTCTAGTTTTTGTGTCCTTTCCACCAGCTGATCTAATTATGTTTAAGCAATAACGATAAAAATACCCATAAAAAGCTGTAGGTGTGGTGACACTTAATTATACAACATCGTAATTTAGCTGGCAGCATTAATAAATAAATATATATATTCAACAGGAACAAATTAACTTTAAAAAAAATCATCCCGTTGGTAAATAAGCTGCAAATTCACACCTGTTTACATCATGCCGAGGGAAAAAACAATGCCCAAATGCCCACAATTGCGATTGCAGTAGTTGAAAGGGCATGTGGTGCTATCAAGCTATTTGGAGAGATCACAGAAATGCAGAGGTAGAATCTAGACTGAAGGACTGGACTTGGTGTTGCAGAGGTGGGTGAATCTCTGGGCTTCCCCAGCTGCTCCCAGCAATGCTGCTTTGTGGGAGGGCGGGTTGACCCTGGCTCTGTGCTCCCTTCCTGGCTTCCCAAGCCCTGGGAGCCTCCTGTCGCTGAGAATTGCGCGTGGACGGCATATACCAAATTGGAGACTGTCAGCCCCCCAGGTGTCCACGCCATCCCCAGTCTTTTATCAGTGATTTATGTGTAAACTATGGAGGATACCTATGCTGGTTTAAGATAAGGACGCTCCTTAAGTTTGTTTTCTCTCCAAGGAGATGTCTGGCTTTGAATGTTTGATCCAGCTGGGAAGCCGCTAGATGAAAGCGGACGTGCCGTGTTTGTGCTGGGATTGCCATTTGGGAATAAATCACATCATAAGCCAGTAAATGAACCTAACAAATAATTGTACTGATATTCTAAACAGAGGCTACTTCGGACAAGAGGGATTATCCTCCACTTTGTAAAGCAAATGATGCGCGAGTGTTTGGTGTAGCTGGAGGCAGTAGTCATTTTATTTTGCATATGGTGAAGTTTTTACCAGTGTGCAATAGTATCTCAGCAGCTATTTTGAAATGCTCTTTACTGGTGTGATACGTTTGACCTGTGAAGCAAGCTTTACATCAGTATCTCTAGCTGCTCAGTGTGCTGCCTTAGTTCCTTCATCTTCTTTTTAGACTAGTACCATAATGCTCAGGCTTTCCTAGGCAGGCACATAGCTGTGGTCCCTTCAGTTACTTGTTCAGTGGCACATCACGGCAGATGGTTGTCACCCCCAGGAGCTGCTCGGATGTGGGGATCTGGCAGCCTGGAAAAATGGTGACTGCACTTTCAGATTGAACCAGCCTGGCTACCAAACGAACTGTGATGTCCTGAGTACCAAGTGGGAAAATTCTTGCTTTTTAAACGATAGCAGCTAGTTGAGAAACTTTATATAAAGGTTCTTCTATGTAAAGATATTCAGGGCGGGGGAGGAAGTTGTTTTGTTATACAAGTGTAAGATAAGTGGTATTCAATATTGCGCTTTGTGTAACGATGTTGCATTAGTGAAGACATTTTGAAAAGGGTGGATCAAAACTAGCATTTTTCCATGAAGACATTTGAAAAAATACTATATATATATATATATATGTATATGTATATGTATATTATTTTTCCTTTTTGGTGGGAGTTAAGTATTCCCAGCATTCTGCTGTGTCCCATTATTCTTCTCCTCCCCAATCAAGTGTTAATGAGGAATTCAGGTTTTTTTTTTTAAAAAAAAAAACACCTCAGTGAGGATAAACAGACCTCACAGGCTTCTCATTGAGCTCAGCAGGGCACTAGACCTTAGCTATTCTTCATTTCCCAGTGAAGATGATCAGTTCTGGGTGAGCACGTTCAAAGGGCACGGAGTTTTTGAAGGTGCTCGGCGGGATGATGAATCGCCGGGGCTGTCGGCCCGCGTCATGCGGAAGTGCAGCAGGGGCTCTGCTGCAGGAGCTCGCCAAGGAAAAAAGAGCCAGTGGCGCGCGGGCAGCTGGATGCCGCTGCTGTGTGTGGAATCTCTTTAAGGTGTGCTGAATAGGACCAGGATTCGAGATTTCTCTAAGAGTAGATGGGAGAATCATGTACTATAACCGCCTCCAAAGTGTCCTTCTGACTATCTCTTGCGAGGTATCCTGCTGCTCTCCACTTTTAGCTTTGGCTTTGCTTTCTAAGACTTGCGTGCTAAATGTATGTATTCCCAACATAAGTTAGGTAGGAATGTGTGTAAGTATATATTTCTGCTCTCCTGGGACGTGCTCTGTAATTCATCTCAGTAAGTTTTTGGAGTTTGATTTTGACATATTTGGATCACTTGGTACTTTTGAGGTTTGTTTGTGGCGAGACTCAGTGCTTTTTGAGCATTGCACAGTCCCCTCCTTTCAAATGTCTGTTTTGTTTTCTACAGACTTTGAAGAGATTGCAGTGATTGAGAGAGAACGTCTTATTATCTAAGTCTTCCATGTTAAAAAATCATGGTTTTTTCTTAGTGTTCATCTCCCTATTTTCTCTGATTGTGATTGGCAGGAAGCAACAGACTTTGTAAGCTGTTAAGGTGATACTTTTAATAGGAAAAATGTTTCAAAACAATCATCTTAAGTGATAATTTTTCCTAGTATAAGATTTTTTATCAATTTGTTATATATGTTGTTTACTTACAGCATTAAAGACTACTCAAAAAATGGGAATAGCCTTCTCTTGCCTATTCTACCATTAATATTAAACACATCAATTATTCAAATGCAAATTTAAGAGCCCTTTTTGGATGCCTATTATGAGATTTGAAAAAATAGTCTTTTAAAAATAAAATTTAAACTTAATCTCCCATTGATTTCTCATTAAAGCCTGCGTGGGTGACTCCAGCACACGCAGGTGTTTCGGGCTGAACCTGGACGCCCGTGGAGCAGCACGTGCGTTGGGAACGGCGGCGTTTCGGGAAGCACCGGCGATGGTGCTGCCGGTGCCGCGACTGCAGAGGGAGCTGCCGCTCCGACCTACGCGAGGGCCGGCGGCCTTAGGAAACACCAGGGAATTAATCGTGTTTACTCCCTGAAAGAGGCTGTGTCAAATCCCAGATAAAGAACACAGTTTATTTTGAGAAGGCATAATATTATGGTATTTTAGGGCAAGGAAAATATCTAGATCAATGCTATTTTATAACATCTGCATAGACCATCTTAAAACCTTAATGGAAGGAAATGGAGTCTGTGACCCTAGCGCTGAAGGAGACCGTGTCCCAAGAGCCGCGTCAGCAGTGGGGTGAAGGCTGCCTGGAGCTGGAGGAGGGTGTCCGCGCTCGTGGCTGCCCCAGCGCCTCCCGAGCTGCCGTGGCATTGGCTGCAAACAGCCTCCCGGGGTGCAGCTGCAGACCAGCCGCCTCCGTCAGCGCGGCCGCCGTCCTGCTGCCCTCCGCCGGTGCCCGTGCCAGCTCCTGGGTGGCGCAGAGCTCCCCTCACTGTCCAGCTCCTCTCCCTGCACTAACCCTTCTCTGCGATGAAGGCCGCGGAGCTGCACCCTCCTCTGACCCGTAACAAAATGGAGGGCAGCAGCAGAGGGGGGCTCCAAGCCTTGGCCAGGGAAGGGGTCCCTGGAGCTGGGGACGCGAAACATGCCAGGAAAGCACCTGCAAGGGGAAGCTGCAAGTGAGAGGCAGCATTAACTAGTGCTGTTCTTTCACGGTCTGTTCTCAGGGAGGTGGGAACTGAAACGTTTCCTGTGTCTTCACTGAGTCCTGTCTTGATGCCTTAGCCTTGCCCTGCTCATTCCAGCCTATTTCTCCAGGGATAAATGTTGGTTTCTCTGGAGCATATCCTCTGCTATTTGTTTCCATGGACCTTTACAGATAGCAATTTCAATGGGCTGAGTAGTACTGCTACACTGTCCAGCTCTGCAGCTCTGAAAGTGTCTGTTTATTATGGATAGAAACGTGACATTAATCCTGCTCCCACTGAGATCTGCTACAAAATTCCGATTCAGGCCCCTGGAAGCAAGACTGGGAGATGTGACTAATCCCAGTGCAGTCTGCAAAGAAGGATTTGGGAAACTCGCTAGGAAAAAGACACATTTTGGGGCGTGCAGCCCATTCATTGTGGCAGACAAGTTTTTAATCAAACTTGCAGTGGAATCAAGTTATCTGACTATCTTTGGAAATCAGAAAAGCTGTATGTTCTGACTTGAGCCTTTTTCTGTCTTTGCAGATCCCAGAAGGAAGTATCATGTAAGGCTGCTGGCATATAACAGTATGGAAGAGGGTTATCAGGCAGACCAGACAGTCAGCACCCCAGGATGTGTTTGTAAGTGCCATAGCTGCACCAAGAATTCATTAGGACCTGAGATGTTTCAGGATCTCAGCAGCTGTTTTGTATGTGTTTTTAACCTATAAATAATCTATTATTTCAACTTAAAAGTAGAGAATGAGAAAAATCATGTTGGTGACAAATGCCATCCTAGTTATCCTGCATCTCTGAGACAGTCTCCTGTCTTCATGAACTGCAGCTAAGGAAAAAGAGAGTTCCCAAGCAGCAATTGCTGCCCCTGTTGAGTTGTCAGTATCATCTCATCAGTGGTGTATTATGTCCCTGGTTCCTATTTGTAGCCTTGATTTTCTTTTAACTAAACAAAGGAGTTTGCTACAGAAGTAACATATGAGGCTGTATTTGGTGTTAGTAGGGATCTCTAATAGCTTGACTTGAATTCCTAGATCTGAATACCAGGGAGGACTGAGTTGGGGGAAGATTTGGAACCTCTCTTTCAATCTTGTGAGCATCTCTATGTGGTTTGTTACATAATTCTTGCTTCTTTTTTTGTTTTAAACAGCTGTCCGTGATCGGATGGTGCCTCCTCCACCACCCCCTCACCACCTCTATGCCAAAGCCAACACTTCATCTTCTATCTACCTTCACTGGGGTAAGCCTGCCTTCACGTCTGCCCAGGTCATCAACTACACCATCCGCTGCAACCCGGTGGGACTGCAGAACGCTTCTCTGGTTCTCTACCTTCAAACGTGAGTGCTCTGCTACACAGGAGTCTCGTTTTCCTATTTCCTATTTCCTACACGTCCACCTCAGTTTTTACTGGCATCTTTTAATTGCCTTTTACTGTAACACCGTGTACCTGCCTTTGAGGACTGTGTGTTTCACTCTGACTGCCAATTCTGTTTATGGAGTTATTTTAAGTTTTAATCTTATCTTGGCTACTGTATCCCTAAATTCACCCTGCTATATCTGAAAACAACATTTTGCCCTAGAGTTAAAATAGAGCAGAACATTGACTCTACACATTTTTTTAATATATACACACCATTGATTTTTGGAGCAAATATTAAATTGCAGCATTTGAGTTAATTTTACAGTTTATAAGTTATGAAATGTGGTTGACTACAAGATGAGTAGAAAGCTTTTACATTCTACAGAGAACCCCTAAACATGGGGTGATAGAGGCTGTAAGTGCAAGGGCGGAATTGCACACACACAGCCTTTGTACTGTGAACTGAAAAGCAGATCCAAGCATAGGCAGTAGAGCCAACAGCTTGTGCCCTTTCAGCTGTGGGTCTGGTTGTAGTTGAAGCATTTCTCTAGCTTAAGAGGCTGTGTGCTATGGATGGATGGTAAAGGCTGGGCTGGGGAGACCTTAGCTCTCTGGGCCATGACGTTCTTGGATTTGCTTATGCCTCAACTTTGCACAAACCTGAGCTTAAGGTAACATAGCAAATAGTGTCCTCCAGAGAGCTCCAGAGTTAACACAAGTTATCAATGAATGTTTTCAGGCAGACAGTGCAGATGACCTGTGTGCCTGGGCTTGAGCTGGTTTGTCTTGTGTTGAACTGACAGAATCACTTTCCATGTCTGAGGGATCTCATGCAGGTTTGGGATGATCAAGTCAACTCCTCCTGTTAAATTTCCCTTATTCCTTCTTCTGCACAGGTCAGAGACTCACATGTTAGTTCAAGGTCTTGAGCCAAAAACCATGTATGAATTTGCAGTTCGGCTGCACGTGGACCAGCTCTCCAGTCCCTGGAGTCCAGTGGTCTACCATACTACTCTTCCGGAAGGTATGGGCACAGCTGCCTCTAAAAAAGAAGTCCTGTAAGCCAGTGGTCTATAAACAGTTGCTTTATTAATTTGAAGCAGTCTGAAGAAAAGTACTTTCTTTTGAGATAGATATTGCTATCCTCAAAGTAAGATAGAAAAATGCTCTTGGGAAAATCCACATGGTCGGGAACAGTGAAATTTTAACAATTGGCACAAAATCAGCAATCGTTTTTATATGAAATGCTGTATCCTTACACCATTAGCGACAGCTGAATGGAAATAACTTTAGTAAGAAATTTAAAATGTGTATTAAAGAGGTACAGTTGATTCTTAAGCATATACTAAAAAATATCTTTTAAAAACAGAAGTTTTAGAAACTGTAAGACTATTACACATGCATTATCCTTTCTGTTACCCTTGCTGCTCATTTGCTGCTTTGTCAGCATGATCAATGAATATGAAATAACTTCAGTTCCATATTCTCGGCATTGCGATATTTGGGAAAATAATTGCGTTTGCTTTTTGTCAGTATCTCTTTTCCCTTATAGTTGAAGGGAAAATATGAAACTTTTATAAACATTTGATCATTTAGAAATGAAATTGATTGAAATCATCATTTATAAAAATAGGAATGTTTACAAAGTCTAAGCTTTGACCAGATCAGAGTTAACAGGAGAGTGTTTGTTGAGAGGTGCTCAATAGCTGTTTGTTTGTATTTGTTTATCTGGGATGTAGCAGTAACCATAGGGTCTGCACATCAGTTTCTTTTTGAGCAATTTAATTGCATATAAATTAGCTTAATCTAATAGTATTGTGTTACTGTCCTCACAGCACCATCTGGCCCTCCGGTGGGAGTGAAGGTGACTTTGATAGAGGATGATACTGCTTTGGTTTCCTGGAAGCCACCTGACGGTCCTGAAACAGTTGTTACACGATATACTATCCTCTATGCATCCAGGAAGTCTTGGATTGCTGGGGAGTGGCAGGTGTTGTACAGAGAAGGTAAAATAAAATCATAAACGTACAAACTGCACAAACAATGGTGTTGCTTGTAAGATGCTCTGTTACTTTCAGCTCCCCTGGACTACAATAAAAAACAGAATCATAAATGTTCACATAAAAGTTATAATTAGTTTGGAATTATTCCCAGGATTGTGATGAAAATGTATTGAAAAGCAGCTAATACTCAGAAGGTAAAGGGAGAGGAACTGTATTGCTTTGGAGCTCAGTAGTACATGTGAACTAAAATGTCTCAAATCCAGTTACATCCATGTTAGTTCTGTTGTGATAGTGATTGCAGTGGTTTCATTTTGTAAATGCACATCTGAAGTCCCTGGGATGTCTTTCTCTCCAGAAATAAATTTATAAATTCGGCTGTGTGGGTTTATATGTTTCTTTCAATCATGGCCAATCTAGTTAGCTTAGTTTGCTTGATGAACTTTCCCCTACCCACAGCAAATAGCTCTGCAAATTCAATTTAGTTCTCTGGCTCTGCTCTACAGCTGAGCCTGGCTAGCTAATCTAACAGGAGCTCAGGTATGTTGATGTGAACTGCAATCGCATCTTTTTGATTAGATACAGAAATAGTCTACATTTTTATAGACATTTTCTAGAATAAAGTTACAAGCTTAAGAGCTGCTTTGGGGGAGAAAAAAGAAAGAAAAGAAAAAGGCATATATTCTTAGGCTGGTTTTCAAAATACACAGAAGCAGTATAATATTCTATTATTGCATTAAACCACAGTGGGGAACTCACTGTTACACAGTAAAATTACATCCTGAGTAGCTTCTTAAGAGACTTGCCTGGAAAGAAATACAATTTTGTTGTTTTGTTGCTGTTTCATAGCTGAAAGCTTGCTTGGCAGCAGAGCAATGCTTTAAATTTCCTTTACAGAAAATACACAATACTTAGTGATATTCAAAATGATTCGCAGAGGAAAAATTCTTGGTATCAATGAGTTCAAGGATGGTGGTTGTCCCTTATACTGCTCTTGAAGAGAACGTGAGGGCCCACAGCCCTTTTGAAAGGTGGCAGTTCCTTTTGCTTTGGCTGGGGTAGGGTATTGCTTGTCTGGCTCTGCTCAAGTAGTAATTGTCAGCTGAAGAAAATAACAGAAAAAGGACCGATTGCTTCAGCAAAATTTATGAAAATTAACTAGCCTTTAGGTGAATTCTAACTACAAGGGGGAAAATAGTTCATGGTTTCTCTCTACTAAAACAATGCAAGTAAAAAGTGACCTAATTTCACATTGTTGTATTAACCCATTTAACATTAACTTTTATGCACTAGAAGTATAGCAGATTTAATCTTAAATTCACAGAGAGCTTGCATTTGAAGAATAAATACTGTAATTATAGCACAAACATGCTGTATTTGTCGTATGAAGCACAGCAGTTAAATTGTTGTTTCAGGCATGTATTTCAGCTTAGCTGTGATGTGAAAGTCTGAACAGCATCTCAAACAGCTTTTTACCAGAGGTATTTCAAAGGAGGGGATGGCAATAATGATAAACATTTTCATGTGTTCCCTTACTGACAGTGTTGGAGGGAATGGGCAAATAGAGAGCTATAAATCTCAGTGCATTACAGAGTTGATCAACTTTAGAGTCACTCATTCCATATTCTGACAGCCCTATCGGGGATGGAGGCATGACACACAATTTGAGCATCTTGACACATGAGAGCAATCAGTGGAGCTCTTAGTTAAAGGAAGGGTAAAAAGCTCAGGATAGAAAATGAGTGTGTAGAGGAGGACTGGACAAATACTGTAATAGAGCCATGACATTCCCTTCACAGGGAGCTGGAGATAAGAGTAGGGCTTGGGGTTTTTTGTTTGTTTTAATGCATTTATTCTGATAAGATCAATTAACCCTATGTGATAAATGATATTGCTTTATTTTGACATTAAACTTGTCCCACAGATTATTTCTGAAATCTTAACCTCATAAAGTCCCCTGAAAACCAAAGGAAAAAAAAATCCTAGTTTAGGCTTTAGATTTCCTAATGAGATTTCTACCAATGCACCAACTTAAAACCTAAACCCCTCTCATCTGACCAAGCTTGTGTGGGATTTAAAGTGAACCTGCAGTTTGCTGCTGCTCCGTGGTGCGAGTGATCTGCCGTGCAGCTCCCCTCTTCTCCAGCTCCCTGCAAGTGGATCAGAAGTTACGGCCTTGGCGTGCCCGGTGGGCAGTAAATCAGTACAAAGCCCCTGCGTGCGGTAGCAGCGCAGCAGATTGGAAAGGAGCTGGTGGGAAGAGCCTCTAATATTGAAGCATGACTTTTTGCCCTTGCTGGTGCTAAATATTACAGCTCCTTTGGTTACAGATACCTCACATTTTACTTCAAATGCTTTCAGCTAATGGGTATTTTTTATGGAAGAGCTGAAATAGCTTTTGAAGTAGCTTCCCTTTTGCCAAATGTATAATCTTTTCTGTCAACAAAGCAGCCATATATTTTATATGCTCCCATGATGCTATGAAGTCTGGCTTCTGAAAATGATTTGAAAGCCGGAAATTTAGACTGAAATCTGAGAAAGTGAATAGAATATGTGAAAGAGAACAGGGGGTAGATTTGATCCTATAACTGCCACTGTTTTGGAAAGAAAATAATATATTTCTACAGCAAGAAGAAACACAAACGTTTTAGAAAGCAATTGGAATTTTAAGCAGCAATCTGCAGTCCCTGGACAGGCAAAGCTCTCACTGACTCAAGAATAGGAGTTTTGCTTGTGTAAGGACAGTATGAGCGAATCCTATTTATGTTCTTAATCTGTTTCTCTTGCCTTCAGGGATTTAAGGAAATGAATCCTTAGCATGTGAGGAAAACATTTTCCATAATATTTTTAGTAGCACTGCTTAGATGCACAATAATCAAGCAAGCCTACACAGGTCTAAATAGAGTTTAATTTAGTTTGAAAGTGCAGTATAGTGTACTCCAAATCTCTTCTGTCCATTTTCCCAAATAGACCTGAAATTTGATAAACTAAACCTTAATTATTTTGTTATGATGATTTATATTCACATTCATGGTGCAGTATGATTGCAGAAGCGGATTTAGGAGGCACAGAGATTAATATAGGAGTGACTGAACATCCTGCTTTCTGTGTCTGAAAGTCTGGTTAACTCCTGAGGTGCCACCTTACACACATGGTCACAGCATTAACACTGGCACGCTGCAGTTCATCTGGGGCTAGATTTGGAGCCAGGTTGCTGTGGAGAGTAGCCAAGAGACAAGTACTAGTCTCTTGATTTTGCACTAGGCCAGCACCTCTTTGCACCATGCCATGTTCAAGCAGTGGAGAGGGAAGAGCCCGAAGTGATCAGCAGCCATTCACAGCTGACTGCAGAGGCAGGTTAGAACATGTAGGAGTGACCATGGTCCTCAGACAAGAACTGGACGTAGCACTGGGAAGGATGTGTAGGTCCCAGTGCCTACATCTCAGCCTTTCCCACGGCATTTGTCTAACTGGAACTGCTTGTTACATCCTTCCATAGGAGCAATGACCATGGCTCTGCTGGAGAACCTTGTAGCAGGCAATGTCTACCTGGTTAAAATAGCGGCCTCCAATGAAGTGGGAGAAGGACCCTTCTCAAATGCAGTGGAACTTGCTGTCCTGCCAAAGGAGACATCGGAGTCTAATCAGAGGCCTAAACGCTTGGATTCAGGAGATTCCACAGGTCAGTAGTGATGTTTTAGTTACCGTGTAACTGTTTCCTGGACAAACCATTCTGCTTTTGGTGAGGCAGTCCTAACAGCGTGGTGCTTTTTCTTAAATGAAGCCAGTTTGAAATTTTACGTCTCAGGACAGCTCAGCGCTGGTTTCATTCTTTTGCTTAGAAGTTTGAAATTTGCCTTTGTAATGAGAAAATTGGACTATTTAGAGTCTTACATCAATGCCAACTTTGCAGTCACTCTATTCAAATATTTGCTATAGTAGGTCCCCTATTTGACTTAAGATAGCAAATATCCCTTAGCTGGTGAGAACCTGACAGCCCAGCAGAGATGAGCTGGCATCTCAAGTAGGATTGCTGAAATTTTTGCTGGTTCTTGAAGCAGCCCAAGCTGACCTGTCAGCAGTGATTTACTGGCATATGTTTTCACTGAAGAAGTCAGCCCACCTGTAGTTCTCTGGAGAAAACTGTGCATTACCTTGAGTAAATTTAGATAACTTCAGTGGTTTCTCCGTGTAGGAATGGAATAACAAATTGCCTTTGTCACAGAATAGGGTTTATCTGAGTACCTTCTCACTGTTTTTAAAGCCATTTGGGGATGGAAGAGCTAGTAATTATTCAGGTATATTACCCTTTCAGCCTTTGCTTGTTGCTACACACTGAACTGTGAGTAAAGCACAGAGATTTTTCTTACTGAGTTTCTCTTCCATCCTGAAATTCAGTGGTATTTTAGGCCTGGATAAGCAAACAAAGTAAGGCCTGCAGGATTAGATCAATAGGCATAAGAAGTCAAAGCATAAAAACAACTGAGCCCTCCTAGGGGACAGTGCCTGGAATTGCCCAGGGCTCTTCCCTTTCTTCTCTAGTGGCACCCCGGGGCCAAGGCTGGAGAGAGCTTGCTGATGCTGTAACGACCAGCAAGGTGTGTGCTGTGGGGCAGTCCCTTATTCCCCTCCCAACCTGCGGCTGCCTACGCTCCTCTGTCTGTGTTACGAGTTTTATTTTCAAAATTGGCAAAATGTATGACAGAGAAGGTCTGGAAATTGCATTAAAAGGAAGCATTTGTCCTTGTGGTTGTGATTGTAACCCTGTTCATTTCCTGAGCGGGAGCAGGGAGGAACTGTTCATATTTACTGAGCCTTTCCATGTTCTTTTTTCACTATAGCTTATTCTGACTATTACCATCTGGACCAGAAGTCAATGACTGGCATTGTTGTTGGAGTATGCATAGCCTTGACCTGCATCCTTATTTGCATTCTGATCTTAATCTATCGCAGTAAAGCCAGGTATGCTTTTGTTCTTGAAAAGTGACCTCTAAGTTCTGCTCCTGTATGATTACAAGTCACTCGGGACATGCCTTCTCCTCCAGAAGCTCTAAGTTCTCTGAAGCTCTCTGTGTCTTCACCTATTCTTATCAGAAATGGTAACAAAGCCCCAGGCTTTTTTGGTTGTTCCTGCACCATCCTAGACCCCACTACAATGGAAAGAAGGAAGAAGCAGTAATCGGTAGTGCTTTGACAAGTAAATATGAGGCAGGCATCCAAACAGAACCCTTTCAAGTCAGATAAGCATTCTGCTTTGCATCATCTGTTTTGTTTTGTTTTGTTTTTCCTGCATAACCCTCTGGCCTGCACAGTCTTGGCTTGCAAGACATTAACCCCTTGGTACTGCTGGAGAAGAGCTCCCTCCAGCCAAGGAAAGAGGGGACATGAAGCAGTTCCAT